TCTATCTATCTATCTATCTATCTATCTATCTATCTATCTATCTATCTATCTTTTCAGCAAAAGTGTTGTAAAATCCTCCAACTGTTGTTCCAAAGGTGGGTTTTTTTCAGGAGACAACTGGACTTTCTGGGTTTTCTTTGAAGATGTTTTGCTTCTCATCCAAGGAGCTTCTTCAGCTCTGACTGGATGGTGGGTAACATAATTACTACAACCTTTGATGCCAAAATAGCTTCCTGTTTGGAAGTGTAGTTTGCATCCTTTTAGAGAGTTGTTGAGGCAACTTGGAGGTTGTCCTCAGGTTACCTGAGTGGTGCAAATGGCTGTGAAGTTACTAAGGTAACGAAATGTGAGGCAACTGGCGGTGGGAACAAAGTTCTTTTCAGGTGGGAAGGGTGAGTAGAACTCCTTAGCACCAGAGTGTGCTAATAATAATAATATACGAAATACTAATGCTATGATGGTCATTTCGAAAAATCCCTTCTTAGTGAGCATCTAGAAGCCAAGATGAACATACGTGCCAAATTTCAAGTTTCAACCCCTGATGGGATTTTGGAGCACAGTATGAAGTGCACCTGTTTGGAAAAGAGGTCAATGACACCCAAATCACTGTATTTTCTGAGCTTTCTAGCAGCCCCACTATAAAGATTTCTTTACAAGGTGCTCTGGGGTTCGCCATTGGTTGTAAGAGACCAGGAATTTTCCCTGGTTGCCTTTCTCCAAGGAGCACTTGGGGCAGCTATGAAATAGTGTTCAATGCCTTTCTTTAGGGAAGGCCACCGGAATTGGTGCTTTACTAGATGGAGTGTTTTTACCATATTGAAATGCCCCATTTGTTTTGGAGTCGTGGCTCCTTTGTAGGATTAGGGTACATTTGCTTTCAAGCACATAGAGTGTATCCCCAACCCAGGCAAGACCATCAGGCATATTGTAGTTCTTTTGATGGTTTTTAACCATTCATATTCAGTCAAGGAGTCCTTTAGCACTATTAGCAAGTTGTCAACCATCTGTTGGGGGGAAGATTTTTTTTCTGTGCTCTGGTGGCTGGCGGGGGCCACCAGCTGGTTAGAAGGGATAACTGGGCTTATGACTTCCCCTTTTGAGCTATTATATTGGGGTAATCATGAGAGGGTATCCACCAGAAAGTTTTTCCCTCCAGGAAGTATCGTAGTGTGAAGTTGAAGTGAGTGAAGTATTGGGCCCACCACACTTGCTTTGGGGACAGCTTACAAACTGTAGATTTTTATAATCTGTCCACACTTTGAAAGGGATTTACTGCCTTCTGGAAAGTGTCTCCAAGTAAGAGTTGCCCACCTCACTGTGTACGCTTCTTTTTCCTAGACTGCACTCCCACACTCTCCCTTTAGTTAGAGGTATAGGCATATGGTTATAGAGTATCCTGGACATTTTTCTGGAGCAGGATAGTCCCAACCATCATAGCACTAGCATCAGCTTGAATAACAAATGGGGTGCTTGAGTCTGGGTGTTTGAGGACAGGTTCAACAACGAATAAATATTTAAGTTTTTTGAAAGCCATTTCCATGTTCTATTTAAGGGGGTGGCTTGGTTTGGGTTTTCCCTCTCCTTTTCATTTTTGGAGATTTGTAATGGGGAGCATTATTTGGGCAAAAGATGGGATGAATTGCCAAAAGAAATTAGCAAACCCAAGGAAACTATGGAGCTATTTTCAGGTGTGCGGGATCCCCCATTCTAGTACTGCTTGTATCTTTTCTGGGTCCATCTCCACTCCCTCGTGTGAAATATGATTCCCTAAAAAGTCAATTTTGTCTTTGTGGAATTCACACATGGAGAGTTTTGGTGCAGAGTTTCTTTAGCACTGCTCTGACCAGTCTTATATGTTCCTCTATAGTTTCAGTGTAAATTAGAATGTCATCTAGGTAAACTACATAGTGCTTATTCAGGACTTCATTAATGAATTACATAGAGACTGCAGGTGGTCCATGTAACCCAAAGGGCCGAACTTGGAATTGGAAGTACCCCAACAGGCAATTGAAGATTGTTTTCCACTTATCCCCCTCCTTAATATCTATGCAGTTTCCTCAGGTCTAGTTTGGTAAATATCTTTCCTTTGGCTAGGTGGACTACCTTGTCTTTCATCAGTAGCAAGGGGTAGACGTTCTCAATGCAGATTGCATTTAATACGTACCATCCCTGGAGAGTTTGCAGTGTGCCTCAGGATAAGCTGGTGTAGAAGACTTCATTGTTTAGATCACCTTGAAAACTCTCAATCAGCATGTTTTAGAGCCAGTCTTTTAGTTTTCAGGTCAGGCTCCAGAACTCTTGAATATAGGTGGCAAGGTCACCTCCCTTGCTTGATGCTTTTGATTTGGATTCTGGCCTTTTGTCTTGGCGAGTGAATCCTTGAACCGCTTCCTCAGGGCAGCCCTGAACCTGTCAAAGTTGCATAGCTACACCGCATCATCATCCTGGAAGATTAGCATCCACTCAGCTGCTTCTCCCTCCAGGGCCATGATATAATATTCTTGTGTGTAGTTCCACACTTGGGTGAGGAGGAATGCCAGCTGTTTCGGGTTGCTCTTAAATTTCACTGCCAGAGCTGGTGGTCTCTTCTCTGGAAAGGGTCAGCCAAGAAGGAGGGGGTTGCTGGATTGGTTGGGTCATCCCTGGCTGCTGTGCTGGAGCTGATGGAGCGATGGTGCAGGTGCTGCCGTAGTCAGTTGAGCTTTGGTAGCGCTAGCCACTCTTAGGCATCTTGGGCCTTGACAACCTATTTGAATATGACCTCATGTGGGTTTGACTCAACCTCCACTGCTCTGCACTCCTTTACAACACATGGTGTTTTATGGTGGCTTCTTCGACTCCCCTGGGTGAAAGTTAAGGGTGTCTCTTCCCACTCTTTCATCTTTCTGATCCCTACGGACCACCAGGGCTCTACTCCTTCCCCCAATTTGGAGTAGTTCCCATTGCTTCTAGGTCTTGAAGTGGCTTCTTTCCAGGTTTCTATCTCCTCCTCCTCATTCTCATGAGTTGACATTCTGTACATAGTCCCCATGGTAGATGAAGGCTTCTGGTGGCTCATTATTGCAGATCTGCAATAATGTCAAGCCTATCCCAGCTTGGGCATTGTATTTAAGAAACAAAGACCCTCAACTCCATTTGTAGTGAAATGCACACTTTTACTAAAACCAAGTGTTTACAATGTAAGCAAAGCCAGGTCTGAGATTTCCTGCGTAAACCTGGTGATTTTCCCTTCTCTCAGGCCCTCTTCCTTGATATTCTTGGTAGTGTCCAATAAAGTTCAAATTAGGTGTTTTGGTAACAGTTCTAAAGTTTAGTGCCTCTTTGGTGGGTGTTTGCATTCTGCCTCCAGGGCAGTGTCCTTAGATCTTTCAACCATTCTCTCTGGTGGGCATTCTGTTTCCTATCATCCCCTCTCCCTATATCCTCCTATTTCCCCCCCCCCCCCCACCCCATTCTTTATGGCATGCTGCTATCAAAGCATGCAGGGCAGACAAAGGACGGGACGCAGAGCATGGGGTATCTTGGGGTGAGGGAGACCTTGGGAGGCCTGAGACAGATGGGCCTGTGCCTGCACTAGGCTTCCTAGGCTCTCCCCCACCCCTGAACTTTACTTAAGGACTTGTATATTTGTTTAACTAATACACTGGGGAGAGCAGGAATGGCTGGTAGTTACATGAGGCAAATTCATTTAAAATTGCTCCTACTTTCAATGAGAAGGCTTCATTATGGTCAAAACTCAAAGAGTATCTGTAAAAATGTATAATAATCTGTCTCGTAAATATCACTTGTGTGTGTGTGTGTGTGTGTGTGTGTGTATATATATATATATATCTATATATATATATATATATATATATATATTGTGTGTGCATGCGTGTAATTGCAGGGAATCCGAAGTGCATCAAGCTTGTCAGCAGCTACCGTAGCCTCCCTAGGTGGAACCTCTTCTCGCCGAGGCAGTGGGGATACTTCTATCTCAATTGATACAGAAGCATCTATTAGAGAAATTAAGGTAAGGTCTTTTTTAATGCTGAAAGTCTTTGTTTGGTTTCTAGTGCAGGATCTGATCACAATTTGGGGTCTGTTCCATATAAAAGTGAGGTCTAAACACAGTAAAGAAGAGTCATATCGTATTTTCCCTAGCTTAGAAACATAGAATCATAGGGCTGCAAGGGTCTTATAGTGCAACCCCAGCTCAGGGCAGGAGACCTTATACAATCCTGAATAAATGTTGTCCAGTCAATGCTTAAAAACCTCCAGTGATGGGGCACTCACAGCTTTGGGATGCAAGCTGTTCCATTGATTAATTGTTCTCACTCTTAGAAAATATCTCTTTAGTTCTCGGTTGGATCTCTCTTTAATGAGCTTCCACCCATTGCTTCTTATCCTGCCCTCTGGTGTTTTGGAGAATAAGTTGACCCCCCTTTTCTCTGTGATAGTCCCTCAAGTACAGGAAAACATCTATCAGGTCAACATTAATTGTTTGATAGCTAGGCCTATCTAGTTCCCTTAACTGTTCATCATAAGGTTTAGCCTCCAGACCCCTTATTGTATTTGTTGCTCTTCTCTGCACACTTTCTATGGATTCAACTTATTTGTTGTATTGTGGAGACCAGAACTGACTGCAGTGTTCAAAGTGTGGCCTCGTTAGTGCAGTATAAAATGGTACTATCATTTCTCATCATTTTGATACTATTCCCTGTTGACCCATTGGTTTTTTTTGATAGCTGCAGCACACTCTTGGTTTATACTTGAATAGTGGTCCAACTGAGAGATCCCTCTCTCAGTTGAGCCAGATGCTGCCAATTCTATATCTATATATTTAGTTTTTCTCCCTAAGTGCAGGACATTATTTTTCTCATTATTGAATTGCATCTTGTTGGATAGGGCCCAATGCTCAAGTCTGTCAAGATCCTTCTGAATCTTGAGTCTTATCTTCTAGCAATTCTTTCCAGCTTAATGTCATTTGCGAATTTGATGAGTTCCCCTTCTGTCTTCTCATCTAGATCACTTATGAAGATGCTGAAGAGCACTAACCTAGACAGAACCTTGTGGTACCTCACTTCATGCTTCCCTTCATGTAGATGTTCCACTGAAGACTACATGTTGGGTGCAGTGGGTCAACTTTGAATTCATCTAGTGATGTATTTTCTATCCCACATCATTCTATCTAATCTAGAGGTAGACAAAGTTGTCTACTTTGTCAAAGTTTTACCGAAGTCCATGTATGCTATGTCCGTAGCATTTCCCTAGTCCATTAATTTAGTCACTATCAAAAAAAGCAGTAAGGTTTGCCTTGCATGATCTGTTTTAACAAAACCCATGCTGGCTTCTAGTAATTGCTTCATTCATTTCTAGGTCCTCATGAATCTATCACTTGATTTTCTTTTTCAGTGTTTTCTCAGATATTGATATCTACTGATTGGCTTATAGTTTCTTGGAGATTGGAAACCACATCAGCTCTTTTTCAGTCTTCTCATAGTTCCCCAGTGCTTGGAAAGAATTACATTCATTAGTTCTGAAATCACATGTGCCAATTCCTTCAGAACCCTGGGATGGTACACCATTGGGTCCAAGTGATTTGTACTTGTACAGGGTGGATAGGTGTTGTCTTACCAATTCCTTGCCTATTTTGCATTCCTGTTCTATTTCCCTTGGTATTGCTTTTGATAGGTTGGGCTTGTGCTTCCTTTTGCATAAAGACAGATGCAGAGAAGGAATTAAGCAGTTCTGCTATTTCCCTGCTGCCTGTCATCTTCTTGCCACCTGCTCCCATTGGTGGACCTATTGTTTTCTTGACTTCCTTCTTGTTCTTATATATCAAAAGAATTTTTTTTGTTATTTTGGCATTAGTTAGCTCATTCTAGGCAGCTTTCCTCACTCCATATTTGTAGATTTGGTCTATTTGCTGATGGTATTTTTTGTCCCCCAATTTCTCTTTGTGTAACCACACTGGTTTTTATTTCTCTATGATATTATTTCTGTTCGGGCCATTATTATTTCATTTTTCAGAGCATCTTATTTTCCCTCTAAGAATCAATTTATTTATTTATTAAATTTGTTTGCCACCCTTCTTGTATCAGAAGAACTTTGAGTGGCTTATAACATTAAAACTCTAACATAAATATTTCTAAAATAATACAAATAGAAATCACATTCAAAACAAAATTATAGTTAAAAGATGTGGAGGGAGGGAAGAGGATGCCTGGGAGAAAAGGTGAGATTACCTTTTAACTCATCAACCACCTCCAGTATGATGCTTCCGCATTAGAGCCCCAAGCATCTCCTAGGGCTAGGTTTTGATGCTCTTGCAAAAGATAAGAAGGGTGGGAGCCAATCTCATTTCAGGCAGTAAGATGTTGCAAAGGACAGAAGCCAAATTAGACAAGTCCCTTCTCCTGAACTCCACCAGCTGGAATTTCTTGACTGATGGGCCCCACAGGATGTCTTTTTCTATCTGTGGCTCTGAGAGTCCAGATAGATTGGGTATGTTCAGTTCTTGCTCTGTTGGACTGAGTCTGCGTTAAACTGAAGCTCCGCCCTGCACTGGGGCCATGCCCCAGTTTTCAATTCAGTCCAGCCAGGACGGACGTGAGTTGCAGTGTGGATGGGTGGGGCACTCCTGGTGGGATGAGATGGTTCCTCAAGTCATCTGGACCCATGCTATGCAGGGTTTTAAATCAACACCATGAATTGCACCCGGAAGCAGACCAGTGGCCAGTGTAGCTTGTGGAGCAGAGGCATAAATTATTAGTAACATAATAAAGACATGGAATCCTCCTTTTTATTATACCGAGTTTTCCATTGTTTTATTTTTCATAACATTTTGCAATTTTCTTTAGAATATCAGTGAATTAAAGGATGAAATTGAGAATGTAGAAGCAAAATACATGCAGGGGTTGAAACAAATGAAGGTACAAGTTTATAAAAGAATAGGCATGCAGATCTAACTGAATTAGTTTCCAGATATGAACAAGAGATCTGGGCTGAATTTTATCTGCATGTCTTGTTTGAGAATTTTGCATACTTTGTAGTGCTTGATAAACTCAGATTGTTTGATTTTGGGCAATATACAGTGTATGCACAATTATTAGGCAAGTATTTTGACCATATAATTTTAATGCATATATTCCACCTCTAAGCTGCATAAACTTGAAAAGTATATTGGAGATAAGCATATCAGGTAATGTGTATTTGTGTAATGAGTGAGGGTGTGGCCTAAGGAGATTAACACCCTATATCAAGGTGTGCATAATTATTAGGCAACTACTTTTCTTCAGGCCAACAGAGATGATGTGTAACTGTTTCTGAAAAGTCAAAAATTGTAAAAATTATTTCAGAGGGATGCAGTACTCTTGAAATTGCTAAGATATTGGGACGTGGTCACAGAGCCATCAAAGGTTTTGTTGCAAATAGTCAACAGGATCGCTAGAAATGTGTTGAGAAAAAAGGATGCATATTAATTGCCAAAGATTTGAGAAGAATCAAACGTGAAGCTACCAGGGACCCATTATCCTCCAGTACTGTCATATTCCAGAACTGCAACCTACCTGGAGTGCCCAGAAGTTCAAGGTGTTCAGTGCTCAGAGACATGGCTAAGGTAAGGAAGGCTGAAACCCAGCCACCACTGAACAAGACAAATACGTTGAAATGGCAAGACTGGACCAAGAAATCTTGGAAGACAGCTTTTTTTCAAAGGTTTTATGGACTAATGAGATGAGAATGACTCTTGACGGACCAGATGGATGGCCCTGTGGCTGGATCAGTAACAGGCACAGAGCTCCACTTCAACTCAGGCACCAGCAATGTGGAGGTGGGGTACTAGTATGGGTTGATATTATTAAAAATGAGCTAGTCGGACCTTTTGGGGTTGAATCAACTCCCAAACTTACTGCCAGTTTTTAGAAGACACTTTCTTCAAGCAGCAGTACGGGAAAAAGTCTGCATCTTCCAAGACCACCGTGATTTTTATGCAGGACAATGCTCCATCGCATGCATCAAAGTACTCCTTCCTCACCTGACCTAAACCCTATTGAGAACTTGGGCCCTTCTCAAATGGGAGATTTACGGTGAAAGAAAACAGTACACCTCTCTGAACAGTGTCTGGGAGGCTGTGGTTGCTGCTGCCCAAAAAGTTGATCATCAACAGATCAAGAAACTGACAGACTCCATGAATGGCTTAAGACTGTTATTGAAAAGAAGGGTGACTATATTGGTCAGTGGTTTTTTTTTTTTTGAAATGTCAGAAATGCTTATTTGTAGATTTTGAGTTTATTATTCTTGCATTGCATTAACAGATGCAAATAAATAAGATGGGCAAATTTTTGTTTTTCATTTAGTTGCATAATAACTCTTCATACTAATAGTTGTCCAATAATTGTGCACAGATAGATATTCTCCTAAGAAAGCCAAAACCTCACTTTGACTTTCTTAAACATTCAGATTTTAGGTTTATTTACATTTTGGATTGATCAAAAGCACTGTAGTTGTTCAATAACAAAATTAATCTTCCAGAATATAACTTGCCTAATAATTGTGCACACAGTGTACATTTTGAAGTACCTAACAGTGTCAAAAATGTAACAATTATTAATTTTTTTGTTTTGCATCTTTGTTCCTTTGGAATATATATTTAATATGAATATATTTTGAAAATGAATGTTTAAGCAGTTTCCGTAAGATAGGTCATTTGATATAATATGCAGGCATATATATATATATATATATATATGTATGTATGTATGTATGTATGTCATTCAGCTTTGTTCGGGTATTTTCCCATGTCATTGTAGTTGTGCTTTTAAAGTTGTAGCAACGTTTCAGCAGAATCTCATCTCCCATCATCAGGCTTTTGTATAGTGTTCATCTGTGAGTCAGACTTTTACAATGGTTTCAGATTTAAATTTGGGGCAGCCTATTGCTGTGCCAGAATGGTTTTTTCTTCACCCTGATTGGTTGGGAGTCTTGGTCTGTGTTTATTGGTCTTGGAGTTTGCTGTGTTCTGCTTGATTGGTGTTTCTAATATTTCCTGTCTGTTTTTTGGCTCTTTTTGTCTCTTGATTGGCTGGCAACATTGTGTTGCTTTATTGGAGGCCTTTAGTGCAGCTTGGCTCCGGGTAAATGGACGGCTATCATTAGTTAGGAAGCTAGGTTTCATCTGGGTGCCTGGTTGGGGTGTGTTTGAGCTGGAGGTATCAGGGGGGATCACCAATCAAGCAGAACACAGCAAACTCCAAGACCAATAAACACAGACCAAGACTCCCAACCAATCAGGATGAAGAAAAAACCATTCTGGCACAGCAATAGGCTGCCCCAAATTTAAATCTGAAACCACTGTAAAAGTCTGACTCACAGATGAATACAATACAGAAGCCTGATGATGGCAGATGAGATTCTGCCGAAACGTTGCTAGAACTTTAAAAGCACAACTACAATGATGTGGGAAAATACCCGAACAAAGCCGAATGCCATACATGTAAGTACCCGCGAAAACTTAAGAATGAATATTTACAAAACTGATAAACTCTTGAAAAAATTAAAGAAATTAGAACAGGACAAGAAAACCCCCAACAACTCACAACAACACCTGAAGCAATTAGTATACGTTTCCAACAGAGAACTCACCAAAACAGAAACAGATGTCCTAACCAAAGGATTCAATTATGCTATAGCACCCAAAAAAATCCCCACAGAATCCATCATATGTGCAGTAGAATCCAGCCTAACCAAATTAAATACAGATGAAGCTGATAAAATAAGACACCAAGTTACCAACATCCTCTGCACGAGCAAACCACCCAAAAGCAACTTGCAGAAAGAAGAAATTAAAGCGCTACAAACCCTGAAAAGGGATAACAGCATAATCATACTCCCAGCAGACAAAGGGAATGCCACAGTAGTAATGGACAGAAAAGACTATGAAACAAAATTGACAGACCTACTCCAAGACTCCACATACAAACCCATAAACACAGACCCAACCACATACCTGGAAAAATTAACTAAGAAGAAAATTATAACCAGCCACATAGCAAAGAGATCCAACAGACAATCATCCCAAGAGAAAAATCTTCCAGATGCCCCAAACTATACGGCCTCCCAAAAATACACAAAGAAGGCATACCTCTCAGACCCATAGTCAGCTCCAGAGGAGCACCACTACAAAACCTAGCCAAATACTTAGCAAAACAGCTACAGCCCCCTGCTGAAACAGCAGCTTCACATGTACAAAACTCATACTACTTCTTGGAAATGATGAAAGATCTACATGTGGAGCAAGAAGATCTGCTTGTAAGTTTTGACGTGGTTTCACTATTCACTCAAGTCCCGATAAAAGAGACCCTTGAAATCATCAAAAATAAATACCAACCAGCTAAACTCCTCATGGAACTAACAGAACACTGCTTAACCAGCACATATTTCATATACAAAGGACAAAGATACAAACAAATTGAAGGAGCCCCTATGGAATCACCACTGTCACCTGTCATTGCAAACCTGTTCATGGAAGAATTCGAATCCAGAGCCCTGGCCAATGCCATCCACAAACCCAAACTATGGTTAAGATACATCGATGACACATTTGTGATTTGGCCCCATGGAAAAGAAAACCTAAACAATTTCCTAACACACCTAAACAGCACACACCCCAAAATCAAGTTCACCATGGAAACAGAAACAAACAAACAACTACCATTCCTAGATGTACTAATCTACAAAAAAACAGATGGCACACTAGGACACAACGTATACCAGAAGAAAACACACACTAACCGCTACCTCAACGCCAAATCCCACCACCACCCAGCACAGATAAACTCCGTGGCTAAAACACTAATTACTAGAACCAAATGCCTGGCAGACAAGACACACAATAAGACTGAACTATGCACCCTGACTAAGGTACTGACAGCCAATGGCTTCCACAAAAGCAAAATCACTGGCTTGATCCACAAAAACACACTGAGATATAATATAGACCCAGAAGATGAACAGACCTATGGAACAGCTGTCATGCCCTACATAAGAGGTACTACAGACAAAATTAGTATGATACTGCACAGACATCACATCAAGACTGCCTTCAAAACAGACAAAAAAAAGCAGCCATCCTTAGAAACCCCAAAGATAAAATCGACCTGGAAAACCAAGGCATATACGAAGTCCCCTGTGCATCATGCCCGGCCACATACATTGGACAGACCAATAGAAGAATAAGTACCCGCCTGGATGAACACAAAAATGCAGTCAAAAAGCTGGAACACACTTCCTCACTAGTCCAACACATGAAAGCCACAGGTCACAGCATCAACTTCAATGGCACCAAAACCCTAGCCACTATAGAAAACCCCAGCCACAGAATCAGTAGAGAAGCCATAGAGATTGAAAAAAGACCAGAAAGCATGAATAGAAGAGATGATTCCACCAGACTGTCAATCATTTGGAAGCCTGCACTCACAAACAAAAAAATCTCCACACCACAAGCCAGGCCAACACCTGGGCACAGACAGATCCCCCCGATACCTCCAGCTCAAACACACCCCAACCAGGCACCCAGATGAAACCTAGCTTCCTAACAAATGATAGCCATCAATTTACTCAGAGCCAAGCTGCACTAAAAGCCTCCAATACAGGAACACAATGTTGCCAGCCAATCAAGAGACAAAAAGAGCCAAAAAACTAGACAGGAGATATTAGAAACACCAATCAAGCTGAACACAGTGAACTCCAAGACCAATAAACACAGACCAAGACTCCCAACCAATCAGGGTGAAGAAAAAACCATTCTGGCACAGCAATAGGCTGCCCCAAATTTAAATCTGAAACCACTATAAAAGCCTGACTCACAGATGAACACAATACAGAAGCCTGATGATGGCAGATGAGATTCTGCTGAAACGTCGCTACAACTTTAAAAGCACAACTACTATGACGTGGGAAAATACCCGAACAAAGCCGAATGCCATACATACATACATACATACATACATACATACATACATACATACACACACACACACACACATATAAATAAAAATAAAAATAAAAATATTGGTGTTTGTATGCCAGTGTTGAAGTTCAGAGGATTTAGAGTTTTTTCTTCAAAAAAAAAAATAGTGCATTGGTAAACATGTAAGTGAATGTCAAGAATACTTCACTGTTCAATCATTCAATTCAATTATGTTGTATTTTAAATGTCTAATAACATAACTAACATATCCTTGAAATTCAGTTGGCTTGATTAGTTTGTGACAAATGCTGATCTTAATTTAGTTTTGTTAATTGTGAAATCATTCAGAAAAGTTTTAAGTACAGTTTTGTCTTAATGTCATGTTCCTTGTAACGTACCCTATTTTAATACTTCTGTGGCAAACTCAAACAAATAGCATACTTTGCAAGAAAGTTTGTCTGTCTTGCCTGTGATACATCACCTATAAGATTTAGGCCTGATAAATAAATTGAAAATATTCCTTTGAGTTTTTCTTTATCTTTAGGACTCTTCAGCTGAAGTTGAAGAAAAATATAAGAAAGCTATGGTTTCAAATGCTCAATTGGATAATGAGAAAACAAATTTTATGTACCAAGTAGAAACGCTACAGGATGCATTATTGGAACTAGAAGAGCAGCTTGCAGAATCTAAGAGGCAATTTGAAGAGAAAAGCAAAGTAAGTAGTAATAAGTCTTCATATTGCCTTTATCAGCTGTATGGATGAAGAAAACACTCCATGAAAGGTCTAGATTTTAGGCAGCAATTGTTAAAACACTCTTTCCACATGAATATTTTATTTGTGGTAATATTGACGGAACTATTGACTAAATATAACAGATAACAGATAATCAGAGTTGGAAGGGACCTTGTAGGTAATCTAGTTCAAACCCCGCCCAAGCGGGAGGTCCTACACCATTTCTGACAAATGGCAGTGAATATAAAGGTGATTCATTTCCATTCCTTTATCTGTTTGTTTATCCAGGTAAATCCTGTGAGTATGACCTCACTACATAAAAGATTATGTCTAGGCTATGATACAGACTAGAACGTATAGTGGCATAAATTCATGAGCGGCTTAGAATAGAAATCTAGTAAAATACATGACTTAGATTAAATAAAAGGAAAACATGTCTGATTAAAAGCATTTTGAGTACAGATGCAAAACAATATTATCTAATTATAAAATGCTCATTTTGTAGGATTTTGAGAGAGAGAAACATGCTCATTCTATATTGCAATTCCAATTCACGGAACTTAAAGAGGCTCTGAAACAAAAAGAAGAACTACTTGCTGTAAGTACACAACTGTGGGTAAATAAGACTTTTGTCATTATATAAGAAGATAAGGACGTTTTGTTCACAACCCATGAGTAACAAGTATATTGAGACTGCATGAGTAAAATTCACTGACAAAAGTGATTTTTCCTTGTGATATTCTTCAACTTTGTTAGTACTTTAAAAATCAAAATGGATGCTCTGAGTCTGTGTGAACACATCAGTTTTACTGGCAAAACACTTTTAACTGCACCAATAACTGTGCCACCACAGCTCTTATCACCACAAAGGCTTCAAAGGCTTTGCAAAGGCTTTAAGAAATGTTATGATTTAAATAGTAGGCTGATCTTGGCTTTTCCCACCTAATGAACTCATTGTCTCATTGCAGGCATTTTAAAAAGTGGCCCTAGGTGAAAAAGATTGTGTGTCCCTCCTGTAAACTGATCAGTAGAGACCATTACTAAAAAAAAGTGCCATAGAATCAGATGAGCAGTTTGGACTATCAAATCCAATAGATTGCTCAGAGCAGTAAGCCAAACTAAAGATTTCCTGGCAAATAGCTCTTTTGTGCTTATTTAAATCTGGAAAAGAAAGGAGAAGTCATTACAATTTTCAGTTTCAATTTCTTACGGTCATAGACTAATATAAATAGAGTGCTAGATGATACACAATATCAAAATAAAGTTTAAGACAAAGTTAAAATATAAAACTAACATCTATGAGTATAGTCTAGAATGCAGCCTACATTAAATTATAATCTAGACATTAAAATTATATTTATAATATTTAAAATTACAAAAAAGTGGTAATATTTATCATTTAAAGCATTACAGTTACATAAAATGTCCAAACTTTTCAGCAAGATCACCTCTTGCTGAATTGATTGTGTGGTTCATTTCATAAATGTAATTAATTCAATGATTGCTAATTTGACTGCATATTCCAATTTCTTTGCTGCTGTACAATATCTTGGAAATAGTTTTATCTTTGTTGTGTAGGTACATCACAGTGCTAAGATACTTTGTCCCTGGTGGATCCTCTTGTTTCTTCTTCAATTAGACTCTATTATATATTAATTTCTTAGCATATTGTGTTCTGTTAACAAACTAGTACATATTCAGAGGAGAACAAGCAAGATGTCAAGAGGTCTGGAAGACAAAAATTAAGCTTATGGGGAATACTTTGAGATGTTGGGTACATTTAGTCCAAAAAGAGAAAAGTAATGAGAGATATGTAGCTGTCTTCAAGTTATGTGAAGGGCTGTCATATAGGAGAGAGACAGAATCGTTCAGATATGTTCCATGACAAAACAGTGGGTTCCAAATTGAAAGAGCTCTTCAATAGATAATTTAATTATTTTTATCTTTTATATTTGCTTTATTACTAATGTATTGTTTCGGCCATCTGTTAGGAATATTCTAGATATTGGGAAATTGGAAAGTGTGGACTGTATATTATCTTGAAATATTTTGAGATTTCAGTGTAAATCCATGCATTGAATGTATAGGTAGACATTTCATGCATCCTTTTATTTAATTGTTCTTTGTGAATGTTGCAGCCTTGAATGTTCACCTTCTCATTAACTATCTTCTCTGCTTTCTATCTTCTTGTTTTTTCTTGCATCTCAGGAAATCCGACAACTGCAACAAAAACAAGAGGGTTTTGTCAGGGAAATAACTGATCTTCAAGAGACAGTAGAATGGAAAGAAAAAAAAATAGGGGTAGGATTTTTGTAGCATTTTTTTTTTCAAATTTTCAATGTTCTGTTTTAAGTGGAAAAAGTTATAAATTCTGAAATAAAATGGATCAGGATCAGAAGAATTTATTGAACTTCTACAGAACATCAAGTTTGTAGGATATTTAGGCTACAATCTGTATTTTTTACTCAAAGGTCCTCCCAAATTTTCAACTAGGTTTGATTCCAAAATCCATTTGGTAAATTGAGAATGAAACCATTCCTGCAGTTTTATAATAATAAGCAGATAGGTTACAGTGTAAATTTGGTGATGAGAATTCCCACCTAAAAACAGATTTCGGAAGAAAAGTAGTTACAATGTAACTAGGTTGGCCAATTTTATTTGAGAGCCAGTTGATGTAATTGGTTAAGGCACCAGACTAAAAACCAGAATATGGTGAATGTTAGCCCCTTCTTAGGCACAAAGTCAGCTGGATGATCTTAAGCCGATCACACTCTCTCTGCCCTAGAAAGCAGTTAAGGGCAAACCACTTCTAACCAAATTGCACTTGCCAGGAGTCAAAAAAATAAATGCTAAGTGAGTTCCCACTTTAGGGGGTGGGGCAAGGGCTTGGTTGCACCAGTTCTTTGGTTTGGCTTCCTTGTGGTGTCTTTTGGAAACAGCTGAACACTGAGCTCTTCCAGAGGAATTTTGGGGCACAATCTTGGCTGGGTTGTAGTTTGGCTTTGTTATTTAATTTTCTTCTATGTTTTAAAAATAATTTATAGATATTTCTGTTTGGATATTTTTATTGTTTATTAATTCTATTTTGTAAACTGGTAAGAATTTGGGAATTTCGTGGCCTAAAAATGTGGACTTTTGTGGCCTAAAAACATTAGGGAAAATGGTAGAATGATATGAGTTGTGCAGTTGTAGTTGCAAAATGCCTTTGAAAAGAAATGCAGTGATATTTACATCTTTATATAATACAGAAAAAGCCAATATAAAAACCAGTTTAGCAGTTAAAGGATCAGGCTAGAAACTGAGCTAGGTGTCAGGGTTTGCAGTATCATCGTGGCTGGTTTATGCCTCTCCAACACCTGGTAGGAAGTCCTTGGCTCTCACGGGAAAGAATGTTGTTTTGGCTACACATCCCCAATTATCTCCATCCTCTCTCCCTCCCCCCCCCAATTCTTACAGCTCCAACCGGCCTGGCTGTGGCAGCTCTGAAGATACTCCCAAAATGGCTTCAGCATAAAAATGGCTTCAGGGCTGACACTCGGTTCAGAGATAAGTCTAGAAACAGGCCAAAAACCAGAGAGACTGTAGGATCTAGTCCTGCCTTGGGCACAGATCTAGCTGGCTGATCTTGGGCTAGTTACTTTCCCTCAGCTTTAGGAGGAAGGCAGTAGCAAACCTTCTTGCCAAGAGAAACTGGTTCAGGCAGTGTCCAAGAATCAGACATGTATTTCTTGCAGATTGATATTAACTGTATTTTTTTAGTCTAACTAAAAGATACATATTGTCTGAGAATTTCAGAAACTGGCAAAATTAAAAAAAAATGTAGTGAAAATCATTCTATAATTTCTGAAGTTTTAAATAGATAGCCTACATATGTTGATTTGGGGGAAAAATAAGATGCTTCATAATACAATATTGTTTTGCAGAACAAAACAATACTATAAAAATTGAACAGAGCTTCCAATGAGACTATTTATTTCTTAAGTTGTCTTTCTTACTTTATTTTTTTAAAGACTTCTGGTAATATTGATGCTTAGTAACTCCTTTTTAAATATAGGTTTGGAGCTAAAAAGTTAGAAAATTTTGTTATGCCTTTATTAAAAAAAACCTTCTCCCTTGAAAAAGCAGACTGTTTTTAGTTTGGTGTGATTTCTGAAGATACTCTTACATTGATGTGGGTGCAGCGTACAGATGTTTCAGAGAGAAGAGTCAGACATTAAGGGAGTGGGACAGTATTGTGCCAAGTATGCAGGGCAAGAATAAAGAGAGACTGATTTGTGGCTAGACATGTAGGTGAGGGCAGGTTTGCACAGTTGTTTCTAGGAAGTGGCATTTCGATTACAGTTGTAAACAATTTATTGTGTTTAATTTTAATAAAGATGAAGGCAAGACTTAATTATGAATTATGCTGTTATTGGAATATATGTGATGAAGAAATAGATAGTTTGTGAGTGTCATGGTCAGTTTAAGGAAGTCCTAGGTAAGTTGAAAAATTATTGTAGTTGTCTCATGGTTCTGAATCCAGGGGATGGGGAAGTTTTGCTTTAATCTTTGCTATTCTTGACTGCAGAACAGAATCTTGTAGGGGAAACAGAAATGAGTAGCTCTTTCTAACATTTTTGCAGCTTGATGAGCTTGGTTTATAAGATATATCGCTTATTTGGAAATTGGTTGAAGTCTAGAATAGTTGGGGAGATGGGTAATGCCACCTGGATTCATTTCATCAAAGTTTCAGATTTCTGTGTCTGAGACAGAGATAGTATGAGTGGTATTGCTACCCTTGTTGGACACTCCATTTTCCTATCCGATTCTAAAATGTGAGAGGCCCAACATTAGGTTGAATAGATCAAACACCTTATTGGTATACTATGCACCACACTGCTGAGCAATTTCTCTGAGTTATCTTGGATCACTCTGAAACTTTTGTTTTTGAGGATTTCAGTATTCAGACTGAGCTCCAACTTTCAGGAGTAGTTTAGGAATATATAATCTCTATGCCTTTTATTAGTCTATCTCATATAGTATCTTTAGGAATATGGGGCAGATTTTGAGTATGAATATGGTAGAATTCTAGAATTCACTTATGCAAAATAAATTCAGTACAATTCAGCAAAAAATATTCCTCTTTTTGAATATGGTTTCCAAGCTACAGATTGGGATTATCTAGAAAGCATTTTTTGCTAGTACATTTCTCTCTTGCTTTTTAGGCCAAATAATAGTCCCCATGGATTAGTCCTTCTGTCATCACTACAGAGGTGAATGAATAATTCTCATGTTGATTGGAATGTGTCAACCATCCCAACTCAGTCATCTAGCAATGAAAGATTCCTGGCCCACATCCAAAAGTATACTTTACTAAATCCGAAGTGGTTACAGAAGTAGCAAAGCTGGAGGAGGCGGGGCCAGCTGCCAAGCTGATCGGGTGTGCAAAACTATTCTCCCATGAGCACAGCCATTTCCCAGCTGCTCGATAGGCTCTTTGGGGTCATGATTTCTTGGAGGGGAACTGGAAGAGAATGGTGATCTGTGGAGCGAGTTTCAAACAGCGGTCGAACCTCGAAGGCAGGAGAAATCCTGGTAGATCAAGTGGGGAAGAAGACAGCCTGTAAAGAAGAAAGTCATATGTGAAACTGGAAAGTTGAAGAAACTTAAAACACTACCTTAGAATATTTACTGCGTTTATGGATTTTTGTTGTTTGGAAGGATTTTGGAAGGAGTGACAAGACTTTGTTGTGGTTGTGGTTAAAGAGGAAGAAGAGGAAGGAATATATAGTGATAAAAGACATTTGTGAAATCAAGAAAGAAAAAACTCTTGGAGACCATCAATAAAATAGACCATATTAATTAGAGGATACTTGTACAATGTCTGAAGTGAGAGATAAAGGATATCTAAAGCACTTAATTATTGGGAATATGTATTAGTATTTTTGGTAATATAATTACTATCATTAAAAATAGAATTGTCTATGTTGTTTATGTTATATATGTTGTTGTGATTTAGATAACTTTTACAGATTAGTATTAATATTTTTCTCTGTGCCTACATTAAGATACCAACATTTAATATTATATAACATCCCTTTGATTGTTATTATATTTAACATGTTATCCCCACTGCTGTAATAATGTGTCAAGGTTAGATAAATTAATATAAAAGAACAAAGATAGCTAAACCAAGACAAACTTGATAAACTGGAGATAGAATGGATAACTTAATAGTAGTAGGATATAGTAGTGGGAAAAGAAGTGGGAGTGTTGGTTTAAAAGGTTGTTAAATATGACCAGCATATTTTTATATATTACTAATTTATCTAAGATTGGGACAGGGAGGAAACAGGTGGCACAGACTTCTTCGGCTTCCTCAAGCCCATCTATAGTCAAATATAGATTGAATAATTATTGCAATTATAAAGGTCCAATTCATTTAAAGATTTACAAGTGATGCTGCAACCAGTGCAGGAAGCCATGTTAAAAAAAAACGAAGAAATGAAGAAGGAGATAGGGGAGGTAAGAAGTGATACGAGCGAACTTAAAGAAAAGATACAAATGATGGATGGAAAATTGGAAACCTTCCAAGAACAGATCATGAAAAATGAGCAAAAGCTATAAGAGATGGAAGGAAGAATGGAGAAAGAAAGAAAAAGAGTGGAAGAAATAAATGAGAAATTAACCTGAGCAAATAAAGAATTTGAAATTACTGTTACAGTTTTAGAATCTGAGAAAGCAGCTCACTACACTTTTAGAACATAAAAGAAGAAAAAGATTTACCAGAGATGTTGGTAGAGTTACTAGCGATGGCTCTTGGAATAGGCAAGGAGGAGATGTTGATTGAAATGGACGAAATTTATAGAATCCATACAAATTACGCAAGAAAGAACAATTTACCAAAAGAAATCCATGTTAGATTCGTTAAAAAGTCAATCCAAGATGAGATTCTCCACAGGACGAGAAATGATCCACTAGAATATAGGGGGAAACAGATGATAGTGCTCAAGCAAGTACTGAGAAGAATCAGAGTTGAGAAGGCCCTACTAATTCTTGACATCCAAACTGACCAGACATAATATTAATTTTAGATGATTGATCCCAGAAGGGATAATGATTAGATAGCAAGAAAAGAGAATTAGAGTGGATACTCTAGATAAAGCGGAAGAGTTTTACAATCAAAACTTCGATAACAAAGAATTAGAAGAGAGGGAAGAAATAGAAGAAAGAGTCAAGGTTATTGGTCATAGAAGAGAAAGAACTACAACACAGAGAAAGAAGAAATGACAGAAGAGAAGAAACAGAAAAGAGAAGACCAA